ATTTAGGTTATGCAACCTAAAAAGCTATAGGCATGTGTACACTTCTAAAAGACATAATTAGATCAAATGCATCTGACTTAAAGCTATAAAAGGAGAGAGTCCATGAGGTGTCTATCCAATATAACTTTAGGAAAAAAATAATGTTCCAAACAATTATCAGAAAGAAATTATGCTGACCACCAGGAATCAATTTCAAACAGGTCATAAAAAACAAAACCCTGAAAATGTAATGTATTAGTACAGGAAAAATAATGAGCTATGTAGGGAACTTGAAAGCGCTGTTTGAGCTAGCAAACACGAGGTCTGTTAGCTACATTAGCTATGCCACTTCATCTGTACAACTATTATTATTTATATAAACACTGTGGGCCCCGTTTATGCCTTTCATATGACATTACGTGATATGAAATCAAATGACAAAAATGCCTGAACACTTTAAAAATCAGTAGTTTCTAACAGAATCTGAGATCTTGCTCATCAGTGTAAAAGGTTTACAAATCAAGTCACTTTGTAAAAACTACAAACCAGCAATTCTAACTGTAAATTCAGTGGAATGCTGATCATTCACTTCATATATGTCACTTCATATTAAATTACATATCAAAGTAAACAGCATATAAATAAAAGTACCACAGAATATCTCCAGCAGCAATGGCTCAAATATTGATCAAAGGCCATGATGTTAATCTTGGGGAAAAAAACACCAACTAAATGTCATGTTGAACAGACAGATTCAAGACAAAAGATTGTTCCAGATGCAGCTTATTTCAGGATAAAAACTTCTTCTCCAGTTCGAAGACAGACGGTCGACTTGGTGTGCTCTGTATTCGACAGAGGGGAACTGTGCAGTCTCGTTTTTGACCCTCTGTGTCCATATCCAGCAAAGAGCAGCCCATTTTGACCTCTGAGGGGGGGACCATGTCCAAGTTTTGGGCACTCTTCTCCCCAGAGTAGTGCCCGAGAGAATAGCTCTTATTTCGGCTCTTTAGAAGAGCCCAGGAGTGAGGTTTGCTTCTTAGGGAAAGCGGTCTGGGTCTAGATACTGACTCCCCGGAGGCTTGCTTCTCTTGAGCAGGCTCTCTGTCAGCCTTCTTTTTCAGGGAAGTGGTAGAGGAATCAGGTGGACTGGCCTGGAAGTTACTGTTGCCATTAACTAAAGCAAAGAAAGTAACATCATTAATAAACAATATTTGAAAACAAAACTTCAGTTATGGGTTAATGCAGAAATGAGCAGAGCAAAAAAAAAAAAACCTTAAAATCAACAGCGTAAATTAAATGCACTAAAGATGCACAACATATTGCTACCATAATGCTTATCAGCTGTTATTAAATTTTTTTTTAATTATCTTGCGGTATTCAGAGTTTAATTTCACATACTCATTTCCAATTAATTTTACATTTAGAAAATTTAGATAATATATTTTTTAGATAAAATATATAATTTAATAACAATATAATCAAATCAAATCAAATGAAAATCTGCATTGGACGATATTCAGTGTTTAATTTTACATACTAATTTTCATGTATTTTTTAATTTTTTATTTAGATTACCTTTGCTGTTATCGAATAAAACACTAATGATTAAAAAGATGCACCGATTGCAATTTTTGCTGATTCCGAATTTCATTCTAAGAACTATTGACAGCATATACAAAAAAAAATCTACTTTTTTCAATGCAAATATTATTTACATAATAAAAGAAATTATTAAACATTTCAATTCCCCCAATCTGGACTAAGTTACAGATGTTCTCTCACTTCAACAACTCTCAAAATAAAGTGCTCTGTGACTGGAAAGAGGTAGAAATAACAACAAACTGAAAATGAGTTGCAGTATATAAAACAGATATCATTTCCCACTACGTTTAGAAATGGTCATTTGTTTTCCTAATCTTATCGAATGTGTCATCGTTCACAACAAATTTTTACATTGTTTCAATTAATTAAATTAGAATAATAAAAAACTGTAGTCTCGCTACCATTCAAATGAAATCAGTATCAACAAAATCCATCTTTCCACTGCAGGAAACACAGAAGCTGCATCTGAAGTGGCATTAGATGCATTTACACAGACTGTTTGATGAAGCTGAGTTGCTATAAATGCATTTACACTGCAAAATTGCAAATGCATAAATAATTTTATAAGATTAATGTTTTAAATAACTTTTGTTGGGAAAAACGCAATGATACTTTTCAATATGAAACTAAAGCACCAGTAGGTGGCGGCAAATGACTGAGTGAGTCACTTAGTCATTCATTCAACTGATTCATTCAAATGGCCGATTCATTCAGAAATCAGGCAAGTGACTGTCTTTATGAATGGGTCATTGAATCATTGACTCACTGATTCGTTCAAAAATGTGGATTCATTCAGTACACCACCACTGTGTGCTGCTTGGAGTCACACTGTGCTGTGGCTTTGATTGGAACCATTTTCATTTGTGAAATTGAGCAAAAACAGTCAATAATTGTATCTAAAATGTAAGTCCCTTTATTTTAACTTCTTGTTTATTGAACTACTATTGTATAAAAGTAGAGTCACATTGCAATCATGTTGATATTCTGGGAAACATCTTGTTCGTGTAATGTTGTTAACCTATATTACATATTATAAATATAATTTTTCTACCGCAGTGGGCATCTGTAACTTTCTGTGAATTACTTTGTGTGTGCTGTTGCGCTCATTTGTTTTGATTTCTGAATGAGTCTCTCTCATTCAGGCTGCACGAGCCTCATCTGGCACAACATAAATACATTATCAGTCGCCATTTACACTGAATGGAATTAAATCACAATCATTCTTGCGCAAAAATTTTTGGTGGCCAAGTTTCAGTGCTTCCCTGGTAATTTTTGTTATTGACGTTTTAATCAGGCTTATGGTCCGGTCAAGCAAGTGAAGTTCTCTCTCACTGGGATTGTAAAAAATCTACTTGTCCCAGACAAGCGTTAATCGAGCCCTGTGGTTCTCCCACTGTTTACTTTGGCCCTACACATATTACAAATTGAGAAATTTGTGTCTTCTTCACTCACAGTGAAGAACTTCCACGCCGACGACATTTTTACATGCGGATGTGAACGTGGGTGTGATGTCAAAACGGACCGGCTCAGAATTGGCAGACTGACCGGCCGGTCACCGGTCCGGGACGATCACGCAGAAAATCGGCTAATTCCGGTCCCTGGCCGGTCGATCGGTTCATCTCTATTAAAAACCATTCAAAGTCATCTAAAATACAAATTTTTCATAGTGTAAATTATGATGTTGTGATGTCTATATTCACTTGTATCATTTAAAATGATCAGTTATATATTTTATACACTGAACAAAATTATAAACGCAACACTTTTGTTTTTGCCCCCATTTTTCATGAGCTGAACTCAAAGATCTAAGACTTTCTATGTACACAAAAGGCCTATTTCTAATAAAACTGCACATTTTAGAGTGGTCTTTTATTGTGGCCAGCCTAAGGCACACCTTTGCAATAATCATGCTGTCTAATCAGCACCTGTGAGGTGGATGGATTATCTCGGCAAAGGAGAAGTGCTCACTAACACCGATTTAGACAGATTTGTGAACAATATTTGAGAGAAATAGGCCTTTTGTGTACATAGAAAAAGTCTTAGATCTTTGAGTTCAGCTCATGAAAAATGGGGGCAAAAACAAAAGTGTTGCATTTATAATTTTGTTCAGTATACATTATTTTGACAAAATAGTATAGAATTTTAAAAGATAACACCACATTACTCACTGGTCTGACACACAGCAGGGCTGGACTTCTTTCTCCTAAGTCGAGAGTTGGATCCAGAAGTATGATCTTGTACAGGGGCAGAGGGAAGAACATCACTAGTGCCTGTATGCTGATGTGTCTGGGAATTGCTAGCTGGAGTCTCGTTCAGTGGGTTATACCCAGACCCCTCAAAATCTGACTGCAGGAGGCACTTGGTGGAGTTGCACTCAGAAATCGATGACATGGCGAGTAGGTTTACGGGTCCTGCGGTAACCTCATCCTTGCGTGAGCGGCCACCAGGGGGGCTGGTGCTGCGGCGGAAGCGAGTGGCACGCTGAAACAGGCCCTGTTTTTTCTTCTCCTCACGTGGCTCTGGTTCCTCATTAGCAGCACCCTTACACACCCCCCGCAGGTCGAAGCCGAATGCGACAGATGCCAGGATGGAGGCACAGCCATAGAGAACAGCATCTGTGCGCCGGCGTGTGGTGGTGCGCTTCAGGCTGTTGGTGGGTGTGTGCTGCGGTGTGGTGCTGGTGGAACTTGTGGATGTTGTTGGGTCTTCCTGGCTCTCACCTCCACCAGCTGGCCCCTGGCTCTCTCCCTGTTCATCTTTCCACAGAGGTAGATCAATATAAACCTGGTTGGGGAACTTCAGTTGCTTTGGTTTGTTGTCAGATCCATCAGCAGAACATACTTCATCTTTATTGGTTCCTGGGAAAACAACATAAAACAAGTTAACAAAGTTTGGGTTCTGTAAGATTATTTTGGAAATTTTATTAGAATGATTTCTGAAGGATCATGTGACACTGAAGACTGGAGTAATGATGCTGAAAATTAAGCTTTGCCATTGAAGGAATAAATTACATTTTAAAATATTGTGTATTCAAATAACACTTCTTTTAACAGTACTTCACAATATTACTGTTTTAGTATATTTTTGGTAAAAATAAATGCAGCCTCAAGGAGCATAAGAGACTTCACAAAAAAAAGTTTTTAAACTTTTAAACAGGCTTTAAAAAAAAGAAAGAAAAAGAGTTAAAAACACGCAAGCAATTTGGAAACAAGATTAGATAGAATCTAGAAAGAACAGATTTATTAATTGTGCATATTTAATAGTTAAATCAATATAGTATTAGTACTAAATGAGAAGTAGTAAATGCCAGAAGATAGAAAATGACTGTGTTCCACCAAAATACAGCAGAACGTTGCACATAAATGGGTGCCATGACACAGTGGCTGTGTCCGAAATCTCCCCCACATCCTTAAACAGGGCACTATTGGGGGGACAGCCATTTGTGTCATCCGAAACCATAGGGGACGTTATTGAGTGCATTCAGTCAAACCCATAATGCACCTCAATAACGAGTGTACAACCGATGTACACTTAACGGCTACAGAATACCTAAAATGCACTGTGAGGGTTGTGCCAAATGAATTCCCACGTCTCGCCTGAAGATGGCACCTGCAGCTGAATCATCCATCCATCCATTTTCCAAACCGCTGGGCCAATGTGGGTACAGCGTAATATCATACAGGGTGCATCTTGCTCCCTAGCTCCCGACCTTTTGAACCAGTATATCATGTACACAAATCCAGTCACTGGTAGTACCCTGGCTCACTGCACATTGGGACAGTGATTACTCAATTTCCAGCGACATGACTACGTACAATGTCAACAGACATCATTGCTGGAATTAATCAACAACAGGCAGGACCAATTTCTTTTTGATATTGTTTTTATTCTCTTTAAATTATGTTCTGTTACATGTCCTTACAACATTTCAGTTAAATATTAATTATAAATGTTAACTAGATGTGTTAACTACCTGTCTAGCGATGTGTGTTTATGCTGAAATACATAAAAAAAAAAGGTTTGTCTTTTCAAATCCTCTATTGCGCGCGTCATTTATATTTATCGAGTTGGCTCCTGTGGTTTAGGTTTAGTGCTTCAGAAATGTGACGCAATTTCCGGTAAGGGAGCATAGTGAGCATCGATGCTCCCTAGCTTTTGTGGTGCATTGTGGGATTTTTCAGGGAGTGAACGTTCCAGTGCACTGGAAAGATTTCGCGATTGAGACAGCCCTTAAAACGACTCCCTGATCAGTGCCCTGACTACTGACCTAGGGAGCTGATTGAGATGCACCCACAGGTATACATTTCTTTTTAATTGATTATTAACTAGTTTAATTAAGGTTTATACATGCTAGTTTCCATGACAGTTCAAGATAAATCTCTTCTACACATGTAGCCGCCAGTTTTCTAACTTTCAAATGATTATTAAACAGCAAGTACAAATTATGCAAAAGCAGCAGCCCTTCCGGTGCACTCGGTGCATTTGAATTCACTCACTCCTTCAACTGGACTAGATTAGTGGACTAATGTAGGGAATAGTGAATGAGGGTATAGGGGCTATTTTGAACAAAGCAACATTAATGTAATTTCTTTGCAACACGAATAAAAGATATAACAGACAGCGATGAAAATTGAGTACATGGAAAAAATAAATGGAAGATGAGCCTTCTTTACATACCCTGCTCCGCAAATAATGCTGCCAATGGAACAGATTTCTGGGCCTTCATAAGACTAGTGGACCAGGGACTGCTTCCATCTGAAAGAGGTCGAACTCTGAAGACAAAATGACAGTGACACCCACAATTTATAACTCATTAGAACACATCTGAATCATGAGATTTACTGAATCATTAAAAAAGGTAGCATACATTACAAGCTTAAATCACACACAACAATTTTTTGTATTCAATTTTATTTTTATAAAAATATTTGTCTTTGTTTCAAAAAAAAAAGAAAAAAAAGGAGCACAAAAAAATAAACACCAGTTCTAACCTTTCAGTACAATTTGCTCCTTCCTTGGTCTGCACAGAGCTTGGTCCCCATGTGCGGCCCTTCTTCTTAAACCCTTTCTTAACATCTTCAAACTCCTCAGGTTTGTAATTGGTGCTTCGACCCCATGTCCTGTTGCTCTCATCCAGGGTCACTAGAGATGAAGATACATAGAATTTGAAACAGAATTGCTAATACTAACAGAAAATGTCTTAACTGACATTCCCAATTTGTCACACCACAGACTGAGATTCAATATATTAGTCCTTCACAGAGGAGTAGCAACAGCTTTTTAGTCAATCATCACTGGTGAACAAGTGTTAGATCATTACAATCATTCTCGAAAATTGTTAATGGAGCTTCAGGAAGGATATTGGGTTGACCTTAAACTATTGAAGTACCAGCTCAAGGTCTACCAAAATATACATGATCCCAAAGGCAGTCAAAGCAAACTCATTACAAACCATTACAATTCAAAAGCATCAAGCAATGTGTTACGGCAACCATTTGTATCCCAAAGTCACCAAAACAAACAGAGATGCTGTGAAGCCAGAGCAGTAGTGATCAGGAATCACACCAACACACAGTTAGATGGGGTGGCTTTGTCTCACAGGACCACAGTGTCCTTGCCTTTCTTCCTAAACCCGCTAGGAGGTTTACACTCGCTTGTGATATCCACATCCTGGTGATACACAAACATACTGCCCCTTCGGCTAGTGTCACTTGGGTGGCTCACTGATGGGAAGAAAATAAGTTACAAACGTGTAACAAACATAAGATTCAGACTGGCAATGACCTTGATGGATTTTTTCGTCACACTGAGTTGCTCACAAATAAACTGATTAGTGAGACTGTCTTTGGTACATGATTTTGTTTTATTGTATTGAAACTGGCAAACATTTAATCAGAGAAGGGATATGGGCCAATCCTGATATTAGTTTACGACAATGATGTTGAATTTCAGTTTCTTTTAGGAAGATAAATGGTCGAACTTCCTGTTAAAATAAAGACTAAAACTTTAAACTTCTATTTGCAAACAGCAATATGTCTGATGTTTTTTTTTAACCCACAATCTCAAAAGTATTGGAAAATATCAATCTAGCAGATGCTGCATGAACGTGTAAAAAGAGTGGGCACTTACACTGAATGGCTCTGAGGCGAGGGATCAGTGTAGGGCTGCTGGGGGGGCTGGAGTTGGTGCTGTTGAGGCTTCTTCTCTTGTCCATAGTCGGAGAGGCCTGAACTGTGATTTTATGCTGAAAATCTGTTGAACACAAATAAGGTTATCCCTTAGTAGTATTTAAATCCCTTTAAACATTTCTACGTCAGCCACAATTTACAATAACATTTAAAGGGGTCATAAGGTGCGATTTCAAGTTTTCCTTTCTCTTTGGAGTGTTACAAGCTGTTCGTGAATAGATAAGATCCCTAAAGTTGCAAAGACTAAAGTCTCAAACCCAAAGAGATATTCTTTATAAAAGTTAAGACTCGTCCACGCCCTCCTAAAACGCCTCGTTTAAACACGCCCCCACATGTCTACGTCATTGTGTGGGAAGATTTGCATAACGCCGCCCAAATGTTCACGCAAAGAAAGAAGGCTTAACTTTGATTCTCGCTGTAGTATTGTTGCCGCCGCCGCCATGTCGTGGAGACGCTGTGTGTTTCGTTGTGAAAGCGAAAATACTTTGTTTGGCCTTCCAAAAGAGGACACAACTAGAAATCAGTGGTTAAGTTGTATTTACAACACTGTTCCAGAACAGTTCAACCCAAATATTCAGATGTGAGCAACGCATTTTACGGAGGACGAGGACTGTTTCCTGGGAGAGTATAGCTTACAATGCCGGTGTTCTGACAAATAATACTGACTCACAGCCTGTAAGTACACTTTCATATTTAAAGGATTTGCCACTCATGATTCAAACGCGAGTTTTTAGCAGTGTAGAGTAGCGCTTGTTGTTTGTAATTTCTCCGATCACAAATGCAGACATGGTTTTAAGTTTACGTGGCGCGATACGAAACGCAACGCGTAAGAAGACAGTATAAGTCATTATAATC